TTATTATTAATATATATAAAAAAATGATAAATTATATTTTAATTTTAATTTTTTATTAAAAATTATTTGTATAATAATAACATTAAAATAAATTTTTATTTTTATTATTTTTATATAAATTAATTATAAAAAATATATATTAATTGTATCTTAACCTATTTTCCTATACCCTTACGCAAGCCTAATGAAACAAAGACGAATCTCTGGTGAATAATAAATTGAAACAGAGGGGGTAGATATTTTAAGTCCTGTAAATGTGAGTTTCATCAATCTCATTCATGAGTCACGTACCAAAAAAAGTATATATATATATATATATATATAAAAGAAACTCTCATTCATGAGCCACGATTCTTAAGAATTTATTTTTGATGTACACGCCCCTTTTGACATCAATCTCATTCATGAGTCACGTACCACAAAAAGTATATATATATATATATATATATATAAGAAACTCTCATTCATGAGCCACGATTCTTAAGAATTTATTTTTGATGTACACGCCCCTTTTGACATCAATAATCAATTTCTTACTCTGCCCTGACTATGACTAAAACTTCACCTATTATGAATGTAGGGAATGTACAAAGTTACTAAAACCAAGAACTTGACATTATGAGGGCGCTAAATGAAGTCCTTTTCGTTGCTCTCACCTATGGAATGCATTCGTTGGGGTGGCCCTCCTTCGTTCAAAAACCAATGGCGGATGTCATATAATTAACTGACCAATAAATGATAGGGATTTTAAGGCCCTCACCCTCTAGCCCTCAGATGGAAGTAAATATGGCGAAACATGGAATTAAGGTGAAATATCATGTATTTTATTGATGTTTTAATGATTAAAATTTTGAGTTATTATATTGAAAATTTTGAGTGTAAATACATAAATGAATAAGAAAGAGTTTGAAAATGAAAGAATAATATTCTCTATTATATAATATATCATCTAACCTATTCAAAAAAAATTAATGCCACATTCTTTGCACTTAGAGACTAAGGATTGTAAAGAGGAAAGGACATTAATATCCTAGTAATATGAAAAGTAGGAACAATCCAAAATGCAGGGTGAAACTACATTTAGGGCTGGGTTTGGGCAAATATCTTAACTTTTTTTTTTAATATATATATATTTAGGCCTAACAAAATTTAATTATTGGAGAAAATTTATAATTAGTAATAAATATAAATAATAAATTGTAAAAACTATATTAAATAAATTTTAAAGCTGTAAATAAAAAAAATTAAAATTA